GGGCACCATAGGACTAATGTTGTCTTCTTTCGTACAAATTGGTAATGATTTCTAAAAACCACTAAAAAAATTAGATAAAACACATTGACTATCGTCAGATGTTGTATACTGAAACACATTAATAAGTGTTCTGATTATTTCCCATTAGAATTGGTCTAAATGGGTTTTAATACTATTCCGATTTACTCTTAATATTTTATTATTTTAATCAAATTACAAACATAATTGAAACACGTGTTATAAGGGTACCATTCATGTTATTCCCTACTTGGACCCCCTCTCCCAGTGGCTCAGCGGTACGTTCGTAGAACATACAACGCTAAAAAACCAGGTTTTGATACTCGTGGTGGACACAGCACAGGTAGCCCATTGTGTAGCTTTGTGCTTAAGTACAAACAAAGAAAACTTGAAAATTCTGGTTTGGTTCAGTATTTCCTGTTGGTTTTTTATGCATTTTACAACTGATCTGTCCCATATATTGTATATATAACAAAGCGACTGTAACAATAATAGAAGTAAGTGTTAAAGAAATTTTTGTGAATGTTATGTTTGTTCATAACACGCTCAAAAGCTTATTTGTTTCAAAATAACTTCAACTAGGTAATTTAAATTAGTCTAACAACCTTACCTTTCAAACAGTTGTTCTCTAAGTAATCGACGCCCTGCTCGCTGGGCTGTAGTTCAATGCTTTTATCTGTTGTTGTGAACCTGTTGTAGGAACTAAGCTGGCATTCTTTCTTTTTAGGGTCGAATTCGGCTGATCGACACACAATATTTTGTTGAAGTAAACAAGCAGTCTGGCATTCTTCGAGGGATTTGACTTGAGCGATTAGTTTTTCGTGGGCATAACCAACGAGCATTTTGCCTTTGACTCGCTCAAAAGCCCATTGTCGTTTGCATTTACTAGCCCCTATCAAATGATAAAAACAAACGAACAAACGTTGAAAGATGTTAGATGCTAGTGCAACAACAGCCTGTTATGTAACACTTAAAACTAATAATAAAATGGTTTGTTATATCTACGTAACAGTGCTAAGAATAGTGTTATAGTGTTATTAAACCGATATGAACAATAAACAGGTATATAATCACCTTGAAGAAAATACCAATGATTCAAGAAATTTGTGAATAAAGTCAGTATCTAGATATATAGGTTTCAAAGTATTTCATATTAATTCTCTAAGATCACATTTGAAGATTTACAACTTTTAGAAATATAAATTTTGCTCTAATAAGTATAATTGTACCAGTCAGATGTGTCTAATGATATAATACTAACTGACGTACTTCAACTAGTGAAATACTGGGACAGCTGCAAACACTGACCTCCTACTCCACTCTAAAGAGGGCCCTAAAAGTACATGCTAGGTTTGATGATAATAGGGGAGAAGACATAGAGGTCCCCAGGTGATTACATAGGGGATCAGATTTAAACGCTGACTTCCTATCTTATCCCCCGTGAATACCTAAGAATATATGTTAGGTTTGGTGACAATCGGTCTATCAGCTCGCCAGTTATAAGCGGACACAGCTATGCTCAAACTTTTACCAAATAAAAATTTAGGTTATTAAATTTAACAGAATTTGTGTCTGAAAAGCCGGAATCTATTTTCACTTATCGGCTTTTTCACATAAATAGTTTGTGTTAGAAAGTTTTATTTCATTAATTCAGAACAGGATTCAAAATAATAGCAGTAACAATATCTTCAAGTCTGTGATAGATTTGTACGATTTGATTGGGTGTTGGTAAATGAACCTACTACTTGCGTAATCACAATGAACATAACGTAGTATGAAGTTAACACTCACAGCAAAAACGTCTTATGGGTGAAAATAGAAGGGACTAGTTGGTACTCTTGGATAGTTCAGTGAAAGAGCAATGTTCCTGTTAATCAGAAATCCTAGGTTTAAGCCCAGTCCCGGAGTCCCTTTTCACTTATCAGCTTTTTTTTCACATAAAAAATTTATGGGTGAATAAACCAGAATCAAATTAACCATGATGAGAAGTAAACATATTTCCAAATTTAAGGTACTGTTTTACAGCGAATGTATATACATATATACATATATATAAACTACATAAATTAATCATATGTAATATGTTTCCATTATTTTCAGCTTTAACAAAGTTGTTTCAAAACTAATGATATTTAAGTTGATTTTATGTAATGATGTATCCTGTGAATCTGATGAGTCACTTACATGACTCAAAAGTTAAATTTAATATGACCCACCCTACTATAAATTATTTACCTGACAAGCATATTTTTTTAAAATAGTTGAAGCTACCGTTGTTCTTCAAGAAATCCTCTGTTGATGAATCTAGAATGTTCTTGTTGAAGTAACACGCCATCTTGCGGTAATCAATGTTTACAGAATGACAGATAGCATCGGCTCGACAGGCGTTTAAACATTTCTCGGGGGTAGTTTCATTGGAGCTTTTATAGGCAACAATATCCAGGTAAATACCTGACATTAGCTCAAAATGGACATCTACAGGGTCACAACCTGTTAAGACCAAGAAAAACAATCTATATTACTAAATAGTAAACATAATTAGACATATAAGTCAACATGTATGCTTGCTGTTTATTTTACTTTACGTTCCGCTGTCTCTATTTGTCCATTGTCTCTTAATTCCTAACTACATTTATTTAGTACAATATTAACTTCTTAAAAAGAATCACAGTAATAGTTGATATAAACAACAACATCAGACAATATCATGGCTTGCTCAAACAAATAGCTTAGCCATTTATCTATAATTTAAACTTTTCCTTAAGAGAAAATAAACATAATAATTTATGTTTTATGAATACTAATTATGTTCATCTGAAGCTGGCTGGTGTATTTTGCTAGATATTTTTTTTTTTTTTTGTAATATTGAGACTAATGCTGATAAAGGAATAATGTCAACAAACCATTAAATTTTCTGTATGACGTGTTTGATATTCCTGAAGTTTCTTGGTTGTCGGGACTTCTGGTTGTTTCCGAGATTCTAGGTATTCTGGGAATTTCATCATTATTCACAAGAATAACTCCACAATAAGTATCGAGTATTCCATGGCCAAACAAAAAAGACTGACAAGAAAACAGATGGTTTTGAAAACAGAGACCGCCACAACCATCGGTTGATACTTTTTGATGACCAATGAGGTTATGAAGAGCGTCTACTTTACCTAACACAACAATCTTTGACGTGTTGCTGTTGATAAAATCTGAAAAAAAAAGTTTAAAAGTCCGTAAGATGTTATACTTTTTGGGTAAGACATATAATGATATATTTTATCAAGAAAATGGCAATAAGACTCATACGGTTGATTAATGTGTAAAAACAATGATGTTTTAGAAAAGGTAAGATATATCTCTGATTAACTTAGAAATTTATTATACTTTAGTTTAGGTATTACACTGTTCTGATTAACATAGAAAACAGTTGATGTTTTAGTTTAGGTAAGACACATGTTTGAATAACATAGAAAACACTTGATGTTTCAGCTTAGGTAAGAGACATGTGTGGATGACATAGAAAATAGTTGATGTTTAAGTTTACGTAAGACACGTTTCTGATTAACATAGAAAACAATTGATGCTTTAGTTTAGGTAGGACTAAGTTCTGATTAACATAGAAAACAGTTGATGTTTTAGTTTACGTAAGACACGTTTCTGATTAACATCGAAAACAGGTGATGTTTTAGTTTAGGTAAGACTAAGTTCTGATTAACATAGAAAACAGTTGACGTTTTAGTTTAGGTAAGACACATGTTTGAATAACATAGAAAACACTTGATGTTACAGTTTAGGTAAGAGACATGTGTGGATGACATAGAAAACAGTGGTGTTTTAGTTTAAACTCTAGTAGAACATGCACGTAACCAGCTAAATATAATCTGATTTTTGACGGTATGAAGTACAGCGATTAGCAGTAGTTCAGTCATACGCTCTTAGAACTATAGTTTCTAATAATTTTTCCACTAAAGTACCTTAGATACCCTTGCAGCATGTTTTGTTTTGAACAATACAATAATGACGTTTTCCTCAATTTTTATTCTAACAACTTTTCCACTAAAGTACCTTAGATACCCTTGCAGCGTGTTTTGTTTTGAACAATACAATAATGACGTTTCCCTCAATTTTTATTCTAACAACTTTTCCACTAAAGTACCTTAGATACCCTTGCAGCATGTTTTGTTTTGAACAATACAATAATGACGTTTTCCTCAATTTTTATTCTAACAACTTTTCCACTAAAGTACCTTAGATACCCTTGTAGCATGTTTTGTTTTGAATAATACAATAATGACGTTTTCCTCAATTTTTATTTTAGTGTATTTTATTTATCTAGGTCAAGTACTTTTCCTATCATGAACAGTTAGGTAACAAAACACATCTTAAGTTTTCTTCGAAATTAATTTCAGTTTTAGTCCGATTCCTATCCTCTAGAAAATTTTTTACATTTCTTGTTTCTATGGTGGTTTATTTAAATCATGGCGTTATGACAGTTCAAACTGTGGTGTATTTAAATCATGATGTTATGACAGTCCAAACCGTGGTTTATCTAAAATCATAGCGTTATGGCAGTTCAAACCGTGGTTTATTTAAATCATGGTGTTATGACAGTACAAACCGTGATCTATTTAAATCATGGCATTATGACAGCTCAAACCGTGATCTATTTAAATCATGGCATTTCAAACCGTGGTTTATTTAAATCATGGCATTATGACAGTCCAAACCGTGATTTATTTAAATCATGGCGGTTCAAACCGTGGTTTATTTAAATCATGGCGTTGTGACAGTTCAACTATGAAAAACACGTAATCTCAAATGATGAAGTTTTATGATCTTTACAAAACTACACTCATCGCAATAGAAAATCAGATCCAATTTTAACTGCTATCGGATGTACGAGTTGCCCACAAAAAAAAAAAAGAACAAAGAAAACAAACAGCTAAGTTATGGGTAGAAGTGTTAAAAAAAGAAAATATATAGGCCAATCACCAAAAGTCACGCTTTAGTTTGAAGCCAGAATAATGAATTAAAATAGTGGCTTGCCTCGAAGCTGTACTTTTCTCGTATACTCCAACATCAAATCTCTACAAATAATTACACAATAATAATTATATAGTGACATAACGCAGCTGAAAGAACTCTAACGTAATCTTTCCTGCGAAACCTAGTGATTGCTTATGTCTTCATGCTGTGTGGTCCAGACCATGCCTAATAGTAGAGCTTCAAGATTATCACCAGTATTAGTGAGCCCAAATATTTTATTCTAATGTTTACAGTCATGGCAACTTATAAACTATTTAAACACTAATACTGGTAGATACAGAAACGCATCATATCTTTGCTTTTTTAACTAATCTAAAATAGATTATTGCAACAGGAAAACTAAACAATGAGCTTAAGATTAGAGAGTGTTGTTTTATTTTAAGTGTCACAGATCGGGTGTGTCATCATGATGTTAATGGTAAGCGGAAGAATATTGTTCTCTATGGTGTCTTTTGCTTTACACAGAACCATTTCTCATTGTTACTCAATAAGAATATTTTCAGTCAAATAATTTCGAACGTCACCGTAAATCTTACATAAATGTCTGAGAGTAAAAGTCTAGTAAAAAGTGTGAGTACAAATATTTACAGAATGATCAAAGACTGGTAAAAATAATAAATAACAAACGAGTTTCATAGAAAAGGAATTCGAAAAAGGGTTATACGATTAAAAGAACAAACAATCAATTAGGTGTTTGTAAAGAGTTAAACAAGCGGAATGAAATAAACTTTTAGTGAGCATCGAGAACTAATATGTTTTAGGAAAGCTATGTTCGGACCTCTAAATTAAGATAATAATTTTTCTATGGCATTTCTTCGGTTCTTGATTAAAGATCCTTTAACAGGTTAACCACTTGTTCGTAACTGTTTTATTACCACGATACGAAACTGACCATATGAAGAACATTGATTTGTGTATGCTTCTCACGTCTTAATTCTAATGCTTTACCTGAAACTTGAAACATTTTGAAGACAAAGTTTAGAACCTTTCTTGAAGGTGATTAGATAATATATATATATATACTTATAAGTGTGTGTATGAAAGTCTTTACACGGGGCATACAATAAATGTGTGTTTAGTTTTCTAATCTAATCGTTAGTTAAGATTAAAGTGGTTCCACGGACAACTTTCAAACTTAGATTTTAGCTCCAGCATTGCCATATCCTAATCATCATCTCTAACGTAGCCACTGTTCACTAAATGCTGTCTAGCTTAACGGTCAGTTTCAAACATGATATAGTCTCGTGAGGCACAACACCTTCTTATTCGGGCTAACGTTTCTTTCGAAACTGATTTCTGGTAGATCCGGTAATAAATGGGAGACTAGCCGTCAAGGGTGTAGAATTTCTTCCCCGGTCACCAGGTGCCAGGAATTTATTATAGGGTCCAGTGATAGACGGCAAACCTCAATGTTTCCGCGTATAAGTGCATCTGTGTGTGTGTGAGGGAGAGGGGGCGCCACTCTCAAAGATTTCAACCACGTTACAGAAAACTCGATCAAATCTTTAGATTTCTAGTTGTTTGCCAGTGTAGCTATAATCAGATGTGAGCTGACTGTATAATACAACTCTGGTATAACTGTTATCAGATGTGAGCTGACTGTATAATACAACTCTGGTATAACTGTTATCAGATGTGAGCTGACCGTATAGCACAACTCTGGTATAACTGTAATCAAATGTGAGCTGACTGTATAACACAACTCTGGTATAACTGTTATCAGATGTGAGCTGACCGTATAGCACAACTCTGATATAACTGTAATCAGATGTGAGCTGACTGTATAATACAACTCTGGTATAACTGTTATCGGATGTGAGCTGACTGTATAATACAACTCTGGTATAACTGTTATCGGATGTGAGCTGACTGTATAACACAACTCTGGTATAACTGCTATCAGATGTGAGCTGATTGTATACAATAATACTAGTGTAGCTGTTATCAGATGTGAGCTGACTGTATAATACAACTTTGGCATAACTGTTATCAGATGTGAGCTGACCGTATAACACAACTCTGGTATAACTGTTATCAGATGTGAGCTGATTGTATAACACAACTCTGGTATAACTGCTATCAGATGTGAGCTGATTGTATACAATAATACTAGTGTAGCTGTTATCAGATGTAAGCTGACCATATAACACAACTCTGGTATAACTGTTATCAGATGTGAGCTGACCGTATAGGACAACTCTGGTATAACTCTTATCAAATGTGTGACTGTATAACGCAACTCTGGTATAACTGTTATCAGATGTGAGCTGACCGTATAACACAACTCTGGCATAACTGTTATAAAATGTGAGCTGACTGTATAACACAACTCTGGTATAACTGTTATCAGATGTGAACTGACCGGTATAACACAACTCTGGTATAACTGTTATCAGAT